TTGAGGTTAAGTTAAATTAAATGATAAAATTTGAGCATATTAAAATATGAGGGGCTATTTTAGTCTTTTACAAACCTCTGGACAATGTGTGAATTTTTTTGTAAAATAGTCTTTTGTCAGGACCCTTTTATAAATAAGTACCCATTGATGGGCTTACTTGTAAGTACCCTTAAGTTTATTCTTATTGATGATATCGATATTGATGATAGTGACGATATTGATGATAGTGAGAATATTGATGCTAGTGACGATATCGAGCGTGACCTTGATACGGAGCTGGAACTGCTAACTATGATGAATGCGCTAACTATGGATATGATGCCGGAAATAGACCGATTTTATATCACCCTTCAATTCGAATTAGCAAAAGCAATGTCTCCTTGCATAATATGGATTCCAAACATTCATGATCTGGATGTGAATGAGTCGAATTACTTATCCCTCGGTCTATTAGTGAACCATCTCTCTGAAATCATGATTCGTTGGGCATCAGCCGATATTACTGGTAATTAACATAAAAATATGTTTTAATCTACACCGGAACTCTTGGGACAAATCCATAATTGAATAAAGAGTTATTCGTATCGCAAAGGATTGTGAGCCCACAGCTAATTTACACTTGAACCATTGAGGGTCACACTTCTTGCGGAGAAGATTCATTAATTTGGTGAACTAAGCTTAGCTAATATTAGCTAAAGCAGATTCAATATGATTGAATCTAAAGTTCGTAATAGTCGACTGCAGCCGCATCAGCTCCTGAGCTCGCCGCCGAGATTGCCACCTCGATGGACTCCACCACAATCATATTCCTCGACGACATAGAGTAATCCATGAAGCTCAACCATGGCCCAGACAGTCTTCGCCTTCACCCGCAATGAAGGCAGGCCGAGCTCATATAGACTTACTACAACCCGAGCATTGAGCCTTACTACAACTCGAGCGACTATTTTGACGAGCATATGTGAGACGCCGCTTGGCTCTTCTACACCACTGGGAATGAAAACTATCTATATTTTGCTACGGGTTAATTGCAAATACCACTCTTGTGTAATCTCTAATTGCCAAATACCCCCTGTCAAAAAACAATTCACTCATGCCCCCCCCCCCCCCCCGGGTAACAAAATCCACCCCTTTGGAACCCCGGGGGGCAAACCGGGCTCTCACCCCCCCGGTGGGCCAATATTCACGCTATTTTTTGGAAGGAAATAACATAAATACCCCTTTATAAGAAAAAAAAAAAGAAATAGATTGATTTAATTATAAATAACCAAAATTTAGAGGACAAATTGTAATTTCAAAGTATACACTTCTTCCCCATTTCCGTCGGCCCACCTGCCAGCCATTAATAAATTCAGCACCGCCGCCGTCTGGCCCTCCGACACCCACCAACTCCTTCAAATTTCTCTTCCTCGACACTGCCGCCTTCTCGCATCACCCGCCGCCCACCCCTCGTTCAAATTCCTCTCCTCGACACCCGCCTAGTTCCTCCGCCACACCTTACCCCAGACCCCTTCAACTTTGTTGCGTCTGCCCATGGATGTCACCTCCATGGCAGCGCACTCCCCCTTCCATCGCCGGCCAATCATCACAGGCTACTCCGAGCGGCGACCCTACCTCACTGTAGATGTCTCCGCCGCCGATTAATAGATCCGCCGCCTCCGTCCATGTATATTTCTTTTCGTTGTTTGTTTACGTCCACCATTTTCAATGTGGTTGTAGGTGGCGATTTAGAGAAGAAGGTTGTGGTGGTGCAGGAGTGGGGACAAGAGGCGTGATTTTTTTTATTTTTATTTTCTTTTGATTTTTTTTTTCATGATTATCATTATTTTAATATAAAATGTAAATACAAAATTACAACACATAAAAACTTTTAATATTAAAATATATTTTGATTCTTGTTTATATATTTTTTACTTTTTGTAATTACAAAATATTATTTTAGTAAATTTAGATAATTATAATATAAATTTGGAGTAATTAAAATTAATTATCATGTACTGATTGCTGAAAAAACCCAAGGAAATTTCAGTCTTTTTAACTTTAGTCAAAGCCTAAAATTAAAAAAAGGTGCAGTGTGTTTCGAAAATATTAACACACGGGGGATAAGCTAGTATTTTTTTAAGGGGGTATTTGGCAATTAGAGATTACACAGGGGTGGTATTTGCAATTAACTCATTTTGCTACCAACGAGTGGCTGGTGGAGAGTGTGAAGGCATTCCAAAGGATCTCGGACCTGAGGGTGTTCAGCTGGGATAACAAATTGCCGGTTACGATGATCGTTTTTTTACTATAGAGATTATATAAAGATTATCACTAATCTTTCCATGTCCATCCGCACGTATTTTATTATATCAAAAATTTGTTGTAATCTTGTATTTGCAAATAGTCCAAAATGCACTTGAATATGTGATCATATGAATATTGGTGTAGCCTCTATATATTATGTTAAAGATTATCACTAGTCAAATCATCACACCTCCAAAAAAAAAGTGATCGATGAGTAATTAATTATAATTGCATCTATCAAAGCATAAGTACAATAAACACTCTTGGTGCTAAGTGCTATATCTATCAATTATTTACTCCAGATTCAACTAGAATCTTCAATTTCAATGCCCCTAATATGTTTCAATATTCCTATTTATACTTATTAGAATTTTGCGCGCGCTTTGCACATGTTTGATTTTTCCAATGACATACTCATATCCGAAGAGTTCTCTCTTTCGGATTATTCTCAGGTTATCCATTGGGATTAAATAATGATTGCTCTTCCAAGTGGCTTGTGTCGGGATGAAGGGTATACGTATGTATTCAACAAACTTTTCATTTTCGCATAATCCTCATTATGTTCCTCTATTTGTACCATATACCCGAACTGCTTTTTAACTGATTTAATTTGTTATGGTTAGGTTGTGATTTTTGGTCGTTCCGATTCTTTAACATTCATGGTACTCCATAATCGATAAAGGTCTATGGCAGTATAAGTTTCTACGTCTCAAATGTTTTGTGCAATTTCATATGCATAGAGGAGTCCATCTATACGCCTAAGATAGTGGGTACAACTATCATGATTCTGCATCGTTGAATTGCGCACTACATCAAAGTTTTTTCAATGTCAAATGTGTGATATTGCAGATCATACCTTGAAAATAAGGATATGCAGCACTATGCAATCTGATTTCACCTGAGTTGAAGAACCGAACCAACCTTCCGAAGATGCATACGTACTCTTCACCCTATTACAGTACATCAACAATCAAGATGTAGTCCAAAACCAAATATTACAGAATTTGATCATACGCATAATTGAAATAAGGTGTACATGTTAGTCGTCATGTTACGGAACTTGTCCTACAGATTATTTCTCCTTGTAAATCAACCACACTTCATTATTAGTCCACAGCGGTCTTCCAATTCACTAGATCCTCTCATTTTATCCTTCGGGACACTGTATTGTGCTTCTTGTTGCCTCCCATAAACTTCATCGAGTTTACGAAAATATATTTTTTATGTAAAATGAACATAACATATGATACGACTGTGGAAACACACAAGGCAGTGGTTTTAGGAGACTGAACTCCCGTTCTATTGAAAACCATCAATTGGTTATACACCATCGAATATTTATCTCAGACATGTCAAAACCAATGTATATGTATTCTCGTTTTCATGCGACGTAACATGAGCAACAACCGTAAAGTTCTCTCTAACAGGAGTAATTACAATTATTTTCAATAGAGGCATTTAATACTTGAATTGAATCAGACGAAATTACCAATTATCAGGTATGAAACAAATTACAATATGTCGGTTAACTAAATAATTGTTCTATGTTGGTTTCTTAAGTGCAGTCTATCAATATAATGTGGGAAAATAAACGCAAAAAGCTTAAATGAACCAAAGTGCACAAACATAAATTGATCAGTGTCTCGCACTTTATTTCTCGATATTAGTGCCGATATTCATTTTGTTTGAAGGTATGCATCAGTTGTACAACCGTCCTCCCAACACAACATTTTTGTTGCGTTTATCTTCGCCCATGTATTACATATATGTTTCATATGGACGTCGTAGTCTCCAGATTCTCACTTCTTAAATGATCATTTATGCGGCTTCACGCGACTTTTTGTCAGTACTTTCGTTACTTCGTACTACTCTTGAGTCAAATAATGTGAGGAAATAGTGTAGGACAATTGGTTATGATTGCCATTTTAATCTTCACTCGCCATAATTCATCATGTCGGTTCTGCTTACTAAATAATGGGAAGGGACACTTACATTTCATTGTCCCAGCATTTCGAGGATTTTCTACGTCAATATTCTTTTGTCACTAAGACCTATAGCTATCGCCGTCAAATATTGTAAATCATTGTTTCTAGACTGGCGTATCAAACGTTGACCACGACTAATAACAATGTTTCTCGCCCACCCAACTAATTCATTTCTACTACCAACACACTCATAAAATCGAAGAAATGGCTACAATCCTCTAATTCGAACCCTCTCCAAATGAACCTCGTGTTCTTCGTCACGTTGTTGTTTCACAAGAAAAAAAACCACTTGGATAATTGTTGCTTCGTAGTTGATATTATTGAAAAAAAATGAACAATTTGCAAAATTTTAAAAATCCATAAAGAGAGAATTCGTTGAGATGTAAATGTTTTTAAAATTATATTGGAAAATTCCATGCTACTTAGAAAAAATACTTTATATCAAGCCCCTAAGAAAAAAAATGGTGTACAAATCACACTCCGAACCATAGTCCGATAAATTATCTTCAATTCGAATCAGTTTTGAAGCGCTCTGGTCTAATGGTTCAACCGGGGATTTCTTAGTTCTTCAATTGACCGATATTTATGTGTTTCCAGAAAATCTCATCAGTTGGCAGCAAAACAATAAACCATTACTTACGTTGAAAGTACGGCACATTTACTTTAAGTTGAAAGTGCCTCATGCACCATTTATAATTGCATTATACCACGGTTAAAATAATCGAATAGGTAAAAAATAAAAATTACGAGGATCAATATATTCGACATAAAGATGCTTCTACAAAACCCCATCCATCTTCTATATCTGGCCCTATCCAAAATCCTGAAATTAGTACTTGGTCACTACGACAAAATACAATACGCTCAAGACATTGTTTTGCGGGAGCGTAAATACTCAAATCGCAGCTTTTATTCGAAGAAATCATCCCTCCGCCACTATAGTTGCGCAACACAGGCCGTTTACCTGCAAATTCAAATCGTTCAAACTCATATATCTATTAATTTTTCCTTTTTCCTTTTTCCCTTTTCCCCCATAGCCTTTTCACCACTTATTTCCAATTTCGAAGGGGCAAATGAGTCCCAAAAACTATTTCAAGTGCTTCCAAAAATCACTTCCGTAAGTCGAGACATGTTTTATTTGAACATTTTTTTTATATATATATCTGCACTAATTAATATCAAGGCTTAAATGAATCACTTAGACTCACTCGGTTACAATCTGAAGATCCCATTTTGAATTGGACAACTGAAAATTGGTTTACTACTACATTGAAAGATAGGTGATTTTTTTTGTCGGGGAAATTAGAATCATAAGCCTATATTTTAACGGATAAAAAAATTTGAGGTACCTTATATTTCTAACACGTAATGAAGATAGATAGATAATAATTAGAGAAGGCACTTTAAAGAGTTTTAGAGTTCTTTGCTCGGGTAGTCGGTTATGAACTGCATACTATAATAGTATAGTATTCAGTATTATAGGAACCTTAGAAAATAATACGCATAGGACAAAGGTGACAATATTTTCTGCGTAAACTAAAGTATCGTCAAGTAAAACGAAAAAAGAACCTGTTCTGTTGGTTACGGGATTTATAAGCATTGTATGAGTTGATCTTCTTGAATGATTTCCCTACATCAAGTACCATAAAATTATGAGTGGTGAAATATGCCAACCTAATCAAGTATTGTATCTCAATTTCGGGATTACTACATAGAGCAAATAAGTTAATAGCTATTCGCGCACGGCAACCTAGTTACAAAATTCTGTCAATAAACAAATAAAAAAAGACCAAGCAACGAAAACCTGCCTAACGGGTTTTTACCAAATTCAAATGTCAAATGCACGTATTGAATAATACCTCAACTTGATCTATAAATTTTGACGATCAATGAAAAAGAACAAATACAGATCAAATTGGACCAGTTTAAAGGTTACGCATACCCCATTTAAACTTGTCGAATTTATGCTGCTTTTGACCAAGAGATGATGCAACGAACCAAATAAACCGAATAAAACAAATCCCTCTGTATATTATAGGTTCCACATGATGCCAGTAGTAAGAAGAATGATATTCAATTATATTAATATGTAAATAAATTTTAAGAACCAAATTAAAAATGAGAAATCAGTAAAGCAGCACTTGAAACCGCAAAACCCATACATTGTCCTTCCCCAAACATTGTAATTCTAAATTCACTACAAAAAAATTTATATAAAAAAAAAAAAAAAAAAAGGAAATAGATCACGAAAAGAAGTTCTCCTATATTACTCAGTTAACTATATAAATGGTTTCTCTTTTCAACCAACACCTAATGTGACTGAACTTTAACAATACCATAATATATTTGAGATTTCGGCAACTAATGAAGTAGCAAAAGCTAAGAGGAGACTGTGAGAGTGAGTGTTCGATGAATAAGGATTGGGAGAAAGTCACAATGTACGAATATATTTGAACTGTAAGGAACCGGATAAAGACATCTTGCTGTAAAAGTGATGCCTAAGAAACCTTTTGTTTACAACTTTCACAGTTTACACGGAGCACAATGAAACTAAACATTGGTACGAACCAAAATAAAACGAAGTTCACAAACTAATATTCGTAGATGAGAGAATTAATCTTTCACCGTAGGCTACCAAAAACAAATTAGACGAGCAAAGAATACTAAATACATTGCTATTATTTCTTCATTCACATTTGAGATTAAAACATACAAGGACAAAATGGACTTCACCCCTATAAATTTCCCATTTTCGCACTTTTCCCCCTAAAAATTCAAAAAAAGGATACTCCCCATTCCAAATATTATTTTGGTTGCACTTTGCCCCTGAAGTCAATATTTTGAGGGCATTGTGCAACAAAAATAACATTTTAAAGGGGCAACGTGCAACAAAAATACTCAATTCCGATGAATAATCCATCGGAGTGTTGCTATTGGGGCAATGTGCAACAAGAATAATATTTTGAAGGGGGGCATTCACATTAAAAAATTGAAGGGGTAAAGTACGAAAATTAGAAATTTACAGGGTTAAAACAATTGGATTCTAAAAATTCTACACACATATGAGAGCAATTACCCAAACAAACATGACCTAGACAATATTTGCCCCCAAATAGTTTGTGCATTATATACCAAATCAACAATGCCCAAATTATAAACAGAAGAAGCAAGATATTCAAACTAGAAGAATACTTTTTCTCATTCCGTTTCCAATTATTGTACTGTTATTGAACACTTCATTTCTATTCAGAGGCAAAAAAAGAAATTTAAAAAAAAAAAAAAAAAAAAAAAAAAAAAAAAAAAGAACAAGAGTTCAGAAAATAGTGTGGTTACCTGCAGCAATTGGGGTTGGCGGTAGCAGAAGGGCGAGAGCGAGGTGACGGTGAGTAAGTATGCCATGGGAGCGGCAACGGAGATTTATCAAACCCCCTCCCTTCCTTCTCTTGAAAATAAGCTACCGGGGTTTCTTTAGCTAGTTTCAAGTGTAAGAAAATGGTTAAAATAAAGGACCCTCCAACTAATTTTATTTTGAATTTGCATAAACCCCTCAGTTATACCCAAGGTTGTAAAAGGTGTGAATCGGACCCAAGTCGGTTAGACACCGCCTCACGATTAATCGGTGCGGCGGTAATTAATCGACCATAAATCGGAATAAATCGTTTTTTTTTATTTAATATAATATAATTTTAGATATTATTTATAAATATTTAAAATATATATAAAAATATATTAAACATGATCTTATCCCAGGAACGATCAGAATCGGCATTCCATGTATTCCCCATCATTTATATATATCATAATCAAATAATAATAGGATCATAATATAATAAAAATCCTTACAAAATTAAAAAAAAAAAAAAAAAACGAAAATCTTGTGCATCCAAAATTATATTTAAACATTGCAAGCATGTATCATTAGGTCCTTTAAAAATAAAAATTAACATTAAAAAAACAAAGTTTAACTTCATTTTTATTTAAAATCCCAACTAATTGAATTTCAATGAGTCTGGAAATTATTATGCAAAATATAATATGTAGTACTCCCTCTCCTCTGTTCCATAATATATATCTCTTTTGAGAATTTATTTTGTTCCATATTATCTGTCATTTTACAATTTCAATGCTGCATTAATTGCTTATTTTTCAATTTTACCCTTATTAACTCTGCAACACTCTTCCTGCATTAATTAATAAACAAGGTTATTTTGGTCCATCAATATATATTTTCCTAAAATCAAGACATATTTATTGAGATTCTTAAGATTTGTGTCAAGGTGAAAAACGACACCTATTTAGGAACGGAGGGAGTAATAAACAACATTATAACCTTTTTTTTTTTTAGGAAAATATAGATTTCATTAGATATAAATAGGCAAAGATTGGGGAAGGTTAGATTCTTTTTTTACAAAATGAATCTGCCATTGAAGCAAGGACATGGGCCAAGAGATTCCCAGTCCGTCTAACAAAAGAAAAGATACGCGAAGTAAAGGAACGAGAAATTATTAAACATTCTTCCACAAAAGATCCGAAAGAAGAAAATAGAGAACCACCAACATGGAAGGCAATTTTGTCCATACGTAAAATGGAAACCAACCATCCCTACAGTTCACACTCATATAGAGATAGAAGGTAGATATATAGATAGGGTTTTTGCAGTTTACACAATTAATCTACACATAATAACGCACACATTCATATATATGTGTGCTTAGGGGATCTCATCAGCCATAAACCCGAAACCCGAAAACCAAAAAAATGAAATCGTGAACAAGACTATTTTTGCCAGTTCTCATCGAGAAAATATCGGGCACTTCCTTCTGATGGTTTCTATATCCTTACACAAAGACAGTAAATTATTCAAAATCCGAAAACCGAGAAAACTTTCATGAGTATTTAAAAAAAAAAAAAAATCATCGCACATTCGCCCTGGGTCTCAAATTACTCTCTTCATGATCATAACTATCTCCATCATCAAACCTGTTTGACCTCCCTCCTCCTCTTCCTCCTCCTCGTTTCCCAAACGACCCTCCTCTGCCTTGTTTTCTATCTCCTCCTCTAGGCTTTGAAAATTTACCATCTCTGCCATTATATGAACTCTCTCGAAAATCTCCATCATTTCTCTTTCCAGACGACCTATCAAATCCTCTATTCATAGAGCTTCTCCGGTCGTCCATCCTCTCACCCCCACGGCCCCCACTCCCTCGCCCCCGCCCCCTCCCCCGCCCCTGCCCCCTGCCCCCATATGCATTATTACCTCTTTGCCTATCACCATCATCGGAATCTGTTTCAGAGAAAGACTCTTCTCTAAAACTGGATCTTCCTCCTCCTCTTTTAGATACTCCTCTCTTCTCATTCTTTTTCGATCTATTATACCCAATCTCCTCTTCTGAATCATCATCGGAACCAAAATCTCTAGCCCCTCTATTTCTACTATGCTGTTTTTCGTTAACAACATGACTCGATTTCCACTTGGGGTGA